AACTGAAAGGTCCCAGGTTCGATTCCAGTCAAGGGCACATGCCCGGGTTGTGGGCTCAATCCCCAGTGGGGGACTTGTAGGAGGCAGCCGATCCATGATTCTCTTTCTTCATGGATGTTTCTATCTCTCTCTCCCTCTTCCTTCCTCTCTGAAATCAATAAAAATATATTTTAAAAAAAAAAGTTAAAAATGCTGCCCTGGCCCGGTGGCTCAGGGCACATGCCCAGGTGGCGGGTTCGAGCCCCAGTCAGGGTGTGTACAGAATGCAACCGATCAATGTTTCTCTCCCTCTCTCTCTCAACATATCCTCAGGTAAGAATTTAAAAAAAAGGTAAAAATGATTTGCCCAAGGTTACACAAAAAAATGATGAAGCTAAGAGTGAACCCTTGCATACATCACTGTTTCTTAAGGTGTAAGAGACCTTTCTGTCTGGTTACAAGGGATTAAAGGGCCCCGAACTGCACAATGAGAAAGCTGTCTCCGCTTCGCTCTCTGTCAGATTACATCATGGAGGGTCTCCACCACTAGCTGAAACACTGACCAAGCTTCCTTTCTAACAAGGGGAGGGGAGACTTCCGGCTTAAAACGGTAGCCAGCAATGCACCTAGCTACACTTTAATGCCCTTGTTTTATTTTCATTACATTTAATTTTCCACGGTCACTATATGAGGCAGGCTTGGCCTCCTCAGTGTCCATTCCCACTTTCTGCCTTACTAACAGAACCCTGATTTTTGTATCCAACTGAACAGACCTCGATTCCCAGCTTCCCTTGCAGTTAGATAGGCCAACTGGCTCATAAGTGCTTTCAGGAATGCTCCCCGGTTAAGAGGCACAAGGGCACTCTTTCGTCCTCTTTCCTGATGCCTGCCTGATGGCTGGTGACTCAGCAGCCACTTTGGGCTATAAAACAGCCTTGATGATGGAGGGCCCACCGTGAGGACAGCGGAGCAGAATGAGAGAAGGTGCCTGGGTTCCCAGTAGCACCTTGCAGCTAACAGATGAGCCTTGGATTGCCTTCTCCCATAACGAAGAAATAAACTATCTGTTTAAGACTCTTATTTCTGCTCTGTTACTCGTGGTCAAATGCAATTCCTTACTGAAAAAACCTCCAAATTATGGCACATTATACTTCTTTTCCACTGACAGTGGTATACAGCTTAAAAAATTTTAAACCAAAGTAAATGTAAGCACTTCCAGACAAACTAATGACATGAGATGTGAACTAGCGTGAGTGCTTCATTGAACACAAACGACAAATCAGGACGGGGGTTTGGGAACCGCTGTGCCGGACTACATACTGCCTTGCTGCCTGGACAGAGCCCGTGAGGAAGCAGGTTCTGAGTCTTCCCGGGGGACACTCTCCTGGTGGCGCCCGCCTTCAGGGAGCTCATCCCTGGGCCCACGTCCGAGCCAGATCAGTTCCCGAGGCCCAAGGGCACCCCTGCTTACCAGCTGTCTCCCAGGTCCTGGGTGCTGCTCCTTCCCTCCTGCCTCTTCTCCAGCTCCACCGCTGTCTGTTCCAGCAGAGTGGACACGGCGTCCTGTGGAGACAAAGGCCGATGGGTTCCCTGGCACACTGTGGACGCCGCCCCTCCTGGCAAGAATCGGAGCTTCTCAGGGTGTGGCCCTCCCAGTGCACCGAGTGGGTCAGCAGCTTGCCCCCAGGTCACATATGTTGGAAATACGTTGGCTCTTCTCCCTGCAGTTCTCCTGCAAATAACCCTGTGTGTGGACAGTTTTGGAAGACAGCCCAGCCCGGTAGTTGAGGGAGACCAAATTATAGGCCCCTGGTTGTAAGGAGATGACAGTACAGCCAGGGAGACCATCACAGGAACCATCGATTACAAAGCAATGTGATAGGGACCATGCCAGACGTTAAGGATTGATGGTTGGGAACAGAGAAGCAACGGCAAAGTCAGCTTAGGGGGGTGCATTCAGGGAAGGCTTCCTGGAGGAAGAACATCTACACTGAATGGTATCTCCAGTGAAAAAGCTGGTGTGAGTTAAATTATTTAACCCCTCAGACTCCGTTTCCTAATAACCTGTGACAAAGGGTTGTTATGAAGATTATACGCATAAGGTACGCAAGAGTGCCTAGCACATAAAGGCACTCAGTGTCTGCTAACAGCAAAGCCAAACTGACCTTTTCTGAGCGCAGGGTTAATTGCAGATGCGGTTGGTAGTATAAAGCCAGATTGTCTTTTGGCAAAGGAAAGAGGAACTAAAATCAGCCGAAGGCCTGGTATGTGCCAGGCACTGGTAAATGGCTTACAAGTAGCATCTAACTGAACCTTTGCAGCCATCCTGGCTGGGAGAGATTATGATTATTCCCTTGAGGAAAGGGAAAGAGAAAACGAATGTGCCTCAGGCTAATGTGACTTATCCAAGAACAGGCTCTAGAAAGCAGAGGGGTCTTGTTGTTAAGACCTTTGCCAGCTCATGGTCACATGTTTGGAGTGCGGGAGAAATGGGTTTGCGATATAGCTTTGTTGCTTATTAGATGTTTGTCCTTAGGTAACCTTTCTGAACCTTGGTAAACTGTACATAATCAGGACAGTGCCTGATAAAAAAGAAAGTACAGAAAATGATGATGATGATGAAAATGAGGAGGAGGAGGAAGAGGAGAAGTAGACAGATTTAATTCTGACCCTTCTCCCTAACTGGGTGACCTAGCCCATCCGCTCCACTGAAATTCTAGGCAGTGACTGCCCAAAGTAACCAAGTACTGATGGAGGGAAGAAGCATTACAGAGTCCCTAACACGATCTCGGGGACCCTATTAAGACCCCATACACTGCATCACTCTGTGTTCAAGGGCAACTTCATTGCTCAACAGAGCCCTGGCCCGTCTACGTGGCCAGCGGATGTGGGCTTTCCAAGTGCAGGAAAGAGTTTAAGGACAGTTCAGAGGTGAAAGCGTACCGCACTAAAATAAACATATGTATTTTTTAATTTAAAAAAAATGGGCAAATATAAGATTTTTCTTTATAAGAAAAAATAATAACAAAACAGACATCACTGATCAAGTGCTCTTTACAGGCACTTCCAAAGCTTCCTAACAACCTTCTCTGACCCAGATCACAAGTGTAGAAGCTGACAGGTGAAATGACGGACCACCGTCACCCAACAAAGAAAGCTCCAGTCTCTTGCCCTGGCGTGGCTCAGTGGTTGAGTGTCAACCTATGAACCAGGAGGTCAGGTTCAATTCCCCAGTCAGGACACATGCCTGGGTTGCAGGCTCGATCCTCAGTGTGGGTGTGCAGGAGGCAGCCCATCAATGGTTCTCTCTCATCATTGATGTTTCTGTCCTCTCCCCTTTTCCCTTCCTCTCTGAAACCAATAAAAATATACTAAAAAAAAAAAAAAAAGAGAGAGAGAGAGAGAGAAAAAGAAACCCCTCACCCGTCTCCTGGCTGTTCTTCCCATGGTTTCCCTCTGCCTCTTACAGAAAGCCTCCGCTAGGCACATAGTAGGGTCTCAATAAAGGCTAATTTTGTACCTTGCACAGTTTTTTCTTTTCTTCCCCAATTCATGTTTAAAATGTGGTGAGTGAAGGTGTTCACCACACAAGTTGTATCAGGGCAAGGAAAGCACAGAGGGGAGGGCACAATCGGGAAGGAGAAAGCTGCAGGTGGGGGAGATCTCTCCTACCCTGTCCCCTCCCCCGCCACCCCCCTCCTGGGAGAGGCCACTCCCTCCAGGGGCTGCCTGTGCTGGAGGGGGCCCCCCCGCTCACCGTGCTCTCAGGCCCGGGGGTGGGGGCTCGGGCTCCCCCTGGCTTGGATTCCCTGCTCTGTTGCTTCAAGTATTTGTAGCTCAGGAGGTTGTACCAGCGAGTCGACCTCTCCCCAGACCGGCACACCTCAGCCAGGCTGATCTGGGCGCCTCCCTGTTGAGGAGGGAAAAGGGAGAGTTAGGAGCAGGGGCGACAAGGAGAGCTGGGGAATTTGGCTCCCGTATGGAAAACATCACTCCGGGTGGGACAGAAGCTTCCGGGGCGGAAGGGAGGGCTAGTTGTTGATCATTTCCAACAATCACGCATTCACGAATTATCCATTCACTGGTTTGCTCATTTGCCAAAAGCTTATTAAATGTTTATCTCTAGGTACTGAAATGGAGAGATCCCCAGGCTAGATTGTTAAAGAGAAAAATAGGATAATGCAGAACAGAATACATAGTGTGCCACATTTTCTATAAGAAATATTTGAGGTACAAGGGGGAGTGAACATGATCACATGATCCTATGTACAACAAGAAAAAATGGAGCCCGGCCCGTGTGGCTCAGTGGTTGAGCGTTGACCTATGAACCAGGAGGTCATGGTTCGATTCCCGGTCAGGGCACATGCCTGGGTTGTGGGCTCGATCCCCAGTGTGGGGCGTGGAGGAGGCAGCTGATCAGTGACTTTCTCTCATCGTTGATGTTTCTATCTCTTTCTCCCTCTCCCTTCCTCTCTGAAATCAATAAAATATAAAAGAAATAATAAAATATAAAAGAAATAATGGAAAGAGAAAAAAGAAGCCAGTGAATGTGGTTACCTATATAGTAGGTGGTGGGACTGGGTGGACAGGATAAAGAGAGGAGGATTTCTCTGTAGTAAACCTTTCTAAACAATTTTTCTTTGAATCATATAAATAGATCCCTTAAGAACAAAACAAACTACAACAAATCAACTGAATAGAGAGGAACCGCCATCTAGTATAAATTACATCTTACCTTCAGAGATGATAGAATGTGAAAATGACGTGTACCCTAAAATCTGTGCTATAGACAGATGTTAGGTGATGAAAGTTGCAGGGAAAATAATACAGGGGAAGGGTATACGAGGGGATAAGAGTGGATGGGGCATGTGATTGTCCACAGGGTGGCAAAAAGACCTCACTGAGCCCTAGCTGGTTTGGCTCAGTGGATAGAGCATTGGCATTCGGACTAAAAGGTCCCGGGTTCGATTCTGATCAAAGGCACATGCCCACATTGCAGGCTCAATCCCCAGTAGGGGGCATGCAGGGGCAGCCAATCAATGATTCTCTATCATTGATGTTTCTATCTCTCTCTCTCCCTCTCACCTTCCTCTCTGAAATTAATAAAAATATATTTTAAAAAAAAGGACCTCACTGAGGTGGGCGGCACGTGGGTTAAGCCCAGAATGAGGCAAGGGAGTGAGCCTTGTCCATCAATATTTCGAAGAGACAACAAGTGCGAAGGCCTGGAGGGGGGAGCTTGCAGGTGTATTCAAGGGCACCATGAGGCTGGAGCAAGCCTTGGGGCTGAAATCCAAGATAACAGGAGCAGGTAGAAATGGGGTTAAAAAAAAAAGGTTTTGTGAAGCATAGGAGAAATAACAGCATGTTGGTCTATTGACCGGCCAGATGCGGTGGAGGCGGCAGACCTGAAGACAGGATGGAGCAGAATCATGGTGGCCGTGCCGTCCCTGAGAGAGAATGGCCAGAGATGGGGGTGGGGAGGGCCCATCCCTAGAACCAGGAGAAATGGTAGAACCCACGAGACCAGCTAGAGGTAGTGGGAGCTGTGGGAACTCTTCGGGTTCCTTCTAACCTCTCACTGAGTGAAGCCAGGGCCTCGGCAGACCTGAAGACAGGATGGAGCAGAATCATGGTGGCCGTGCCGTCCCTGAGAGAGAATGGCCAGAGATGGGGGTGGGGAGGGCCCATCCCTAGAACCAGGAGAAATGGCAGAACCCACGAGACCAGCTAGAGGTGGTGGGAGCTGTGGGAACTCTTCGGGTTCCTTCTAACCTCTCACTGAGTGAAGCCAGGGCCCCAGGCCCCACGGAGGGTGGGGACGGAGCTGCTGGAGGCTGGAGGAGAGAGGGCAAGAACTCAGCACTGGGAGGAGCGGGGAGGGAACTGTCTATGGAGACGAGAATAGTGCTGAGCATTCTCGGGGCTCACGGGAGCTTCGAGACATGATGACAAAGTGACGTCACCCAGCACAGCTGAGTGCTTCTCCTGTTGCGCAGGGGGAGAGAGTGCACTGCGACAGACCTGGGGTTGTGGCACGCGGGGGTGGCAGGGGGAGAAAGGGTGGGGAGCCACCGTGCCGGTTATCCACGGGCCATGAGTGGGGCCTGGGAAATGGGCTGCCTTCACAGAACCTGTGGCACTGAGCTCAGTGGTCGGGGTGGGCAACCAGGGCCCCACCGGACAGCCTGTGACCCGTTTAGGCCACGCTAGAGCATCTGATAGGACTGTGGCCTGCGATACTGGGGAAGGCAGGCCACATACTCCCCCAAACCCCTAATCTGGGTCTGGGACATGAGAGACACGCACAGTGATCCTGTGAGAAGTAGGACAGTGCGATGGCTCTGCACAAGGGACGTGGGATCTGTGTTCACACCCAGACTCCTCCACCGACTCACTGGATGGCCCGGGTAGGTTACTTAGCCTTGATCCCTTATCTGTCAAACAGCGGTAATCCTAACGCTGCTTCCCAGGGCTGCTGTGAGGATGAAGCGAGACACTGCACACGAAGTTCTTAGCCCAGCACTAGACACACGGACACACTCAGGATGGGCACTACTGTGGCTGGCGGACGAGATGGCTCAGACTCTGCAAATGCAGCGGTGAGGGGGCCTCTGCGTGGAAGCAGACAGCCCTCTCCCCTCGTGTCTCACTTCCTCGCCTCCTCCAGCCACCAGAACACGACAGCCTGACACTCCATCTCCCCACAGGATACGGAGAAATAGGCCTCTCATTGGCTGAGGATGGAGACAAGCCACGGTGGGATGAGCGCTTGGCTGCTGCCATGGCAACCGGCACTGGCCAGACATCAATTAGGGAGGAGGAATAAAAGGCATCCAATTAGGAGAAGAAAACAGGACTGAGTCTCTGCTCATCTAGGCATGGCCAGGGCTGCGGAAACACTAGGCTGGGGGGAGCCTGGGCTTGAAAAAGCGCTCTGCTGTCACTCAGCGTCCTCCATGCCTGCCACACCCTTCGGTCACCGTCCCCACCTGTGGGCTCCAGGGAGCATGGTGCCGGCGCTGAGGACACAGGGAGGGGCTGACCTGGGTGAGCTGCACAGGCGAACCTGCCTGGGTTCTAACTCTGCACCTGCCACCTCCTGACTGTGTGACCTTGAGAAAGTCCTTTCTCCTCTTTGTGCCTCAGTTTCCTCACTGGTATAATAGGACCTATTTTATAAGACTGACTGAGAATCAATAGAGAGAATACACGTAAGGAGCTTAGCCCAGGGCCTGCCACATAAATGCTGACTGTTGCCTAACTGTCGGTAATAATGACAACCGCAGATGCAGTGATGTACCCAGCTGAGGAGGGACAGGAACCAGCTTCCAGGGAGACTCTTCACCGCTCTGCATCCTTGCTATGGCACCAGCAGTGCCAGCATCTCCTGGGGGCGTGTCAAAATGCAGAACCTCGGACCCCATCACCTCGGACCCCATCACAGACTTGCTGAACCAGACTCTGCATTCTAACCAGAGCCCCGGGTAACCTGTGCGTGTCTCTCACCAGTTTGGGAAGTGCTGCTTTAGCACCTCATTTAACCCCCAGAGAGCCACCTGTCAGGTAAGGAAACTGAGACTGAGAGATGAACTGTCTTAGGAAACTCAGGGCTGCGCAGGGAAGCACAGGGCTGGTGACAGCCTCAGGGCCAACATTCCAAAGCTGCGGCCCCCAATTCCCCGGCAGACCAGGGTTTCACAGCACAAACACGTCAGGGTCGGGGATGGAGAGCAAGGAGGTTCCCCACTTCTCTTAACTCATTTGTGCATTACAACAAGCGCCTGAGTTAGCTTCGAAGCCCCATTTTACAGATGAGAAAACTGAGCAACATTTCTATGTACTTGGGTCAGCCTGGCTCTAGGGAATGGCTTTCCTGGAACACAAATGTACCCGGAGCTACTTCCTCTCTAATCCTGACTTCTGCCAATGGGGGGAGGAGGGGGAGGAGGAGGAGGAGGAGGAGGAAGTTGGAGGGGCTCTGCTCCAGGGCGTGGACTAGCAGTGGCCCCATCCAATGAGAACCTACTGTGTGCCAGACACCTGAGTAGGTGCTTTACATGAACTGTCTCTTGTAATCCTTATAACGACTCTTCTAGTGGGCACAAGGCAGGCATTACCATTTGCATTTTATGGATGAGAAAACAGTCTCTTGTAATCCTTATAACGACTCTTCTAGTGGGCATTACCATTTGCATTTTACGGATGAGAAAACTGGACCAGAGAGGTTAAGTAACTTGCCCAAGGTCACCCAGCTACACCGCGAGTGGTGAAGGTGGGATCTGAGCCCCTGTATATGTGTTCTCCTGTAGTGCCGCACGGTAAAGCCATGGTATGCGGCTAGTTATCGTCGAGGTCGTGGCATCTTAAAAAACACTTTCAGGGCTGTCACTCTTCTGTGAACCGAGCTCCCCCACCCCCAATAAGTCTGAGAGTGCTGTCTGCCCGTGGAAAGGTCTCTGCCCAGAAGCCCAGCTGAGCCTACAGCCTTTTCTCCAGACCTTCTCCCTGAAGAACACGATGCACCATTCCCCAGAGGACAGACAGACAGACAGACAGACACAGCCCTCACCAGGCAATCCTCCGGATGGCTCTGGTCAGTGGTACAGACGTCGACTCTTAAGGTCTTCTGGTGAAGGGCTGGGTAGGACATGGACACCCAGAACACCTCATTGAACACGAGGGCGTCCGAGGCGTCCAGAGGCCGCGTCCGGAACAGGCAGGTGGTGCTTTCGGAGCAGGGAAGGACGGCCACACGGATGTTCCTGGAGGGAGACAGAGACGCAGGAGAGCCCGGGTCAGCCCAGGTCTGGGCCTGGGGTGTCGGGCTAACTGCGTGCTGCAAATGCCAGAGTGAACAACTGTCATTTCTCAGGTCGTCACGCAGGTGTGTGTGTGAAGGATACTGAGGGCCCCTAAGGATAACGCACTGCTCTTCCTCCCCCTGAATCTCCTAAGTCCTTAGGACCTCAACGCATGGGGAGCCTGAGGCCAGCAGCGTGCAGAGGTCCACGTGCAGGACCGACGAGGCTGCTTGTTACCACCGAGGAGCCCTCATACCGCTGCTGGTAGGAAGGCCAAGTGTGACAACCCCTGCGGAGGGGAACGTGCCATCCGAACAAAATCACAGATGCATTTACCCTTGGACCCAGACAGCTCGCTCTTAGGCTCTCTCGCCCAGATACCTGTGGGAGGACCAATGAGCTATGCAGAAGGTTCCCCATCCCGGTGCTGCGTGGGTGAGCGTGAGACAGAAAACCACCCCCGGGTGCTATCCCATCTTCCTTCTGCTTGGCCGGCTTTCCTCCTGCCCCCCTCCTTCCCGCATGGCGCACCCCCGGAGGCTGGCTGGGTGCAGACCACAGAAATAGGAGCTCCTGCTGCTGTCGTCAGGGCTTAGGGTGTAGCGAGAGGAGAACAGGTAGGCAGACGAGCTCAATGAAACAGAACCCGTCTGCAGTGAGGAGCCAACAGGCAGAGGGTAGGTATTTGCCGGATGATCCATTTCAGGGAAATCCCGACAGAAGCACAGGAATGGCGCTGACGCTTGAGGATGGCGCGCCTGTCTTTGCGGGGAACACCTGAGCTCAGAGCAGACAGAAGGGGCCATGGCCACCTTCTTCACGGGGCCTCAAGTTCACAGGGGCGGGGATTTGCTCCCTGGCCCATAATTCATGCTGGCACACGGTAGGTGCTCAGGACGTACGTGTGAAGGAATCGAAGGGTCCAGAGGGCTTCTCATGAGAGCTGGCGTGTTTGCCACTGTGCCTGTATCCACATTCACTGCCTGACCCTTAGCGTCAAGGTCACAGGCATGAAATACCAGCAGTGGGTTTACGGAGGCCGCTGTCCGAGCAGGAGAGTGACCCAGGGATGGCTGCGGAGAGGAAGACACACACTCCACCTTGTCCGCTAGATACTCACACTTTCTGGTCCTGCTGCAGCAACAGGGCAGAAAGGTTACTCAGCTGGACGATTAATATTGCAAACTGCTTATTCTTCTCGTCATACCTGCAAGGAAAAGGGGCACATGGAGCACCTGTGGGTAACGCATGTGTCTCTCTCTTTTTTCCTTTAAATATGTTTTTATTGATTTCAGAGAGGAAGGGAGAGGGGGAGAGAGATAGAAACATCAATGATGAGAGAGAATCATTGATCGGCTGCCTCCTGCATGCCCCACAATGGGGATGGAGTCCGCAACCCGGGCATGTGCCCTGACTGGGAATTGAACCGTGATCTCATGTTCATAGGTCAATGCTCAACCACTGAGCCAGGCCGGTTGGGCTGTCTCTCTCTTAATAATCACAGACGTGGCTGCGGGCAGCTCTGGAGACTGTGGTGAGTCAGATAGCACAGGCCATTGCTTCGCTGCTATGCAGGAATGCAGGAGCAGGGAAGGACGAATTTTAAAGGGAAGTCAGAAGTTTGTGTGAAATTTCCTGATACTTAAATATTGGCAATTAATTCTTATTAAAAAAAAAATACTGAGGCCCTGGTAGGTGTTGAGACCCTGCAGAGAAAGGTTGCCAGTTTGATTCTCAGTCAGGTCACATGCCTGGGTTGCGGGCTCAATCCCAATCCCCTGTAGGGGGTACCAGGGGGGCAGGGGATTGATCCATGTTTTGCTCTCACATTGATGTTTCTCTCCCTCTCCCTTCCTCTCTCTCTAAAAATCAATTAAAAAATCTGTTAAAAAGATATTGAGGCCCTGGCCGGTGTGGCTCAGTTGTTTGGAGTGTCATCCCCTACACCAAGAGGTGGTTGGTGGGTCCGATTCCTGGTCAGGGCACATTCCCAGGTTGTGGACTCGATCCCCAGTTGGGCCACATTCAGGAGGCAACCAATTAATGTGTCTCTCTCACATCAATGTTTCTCTCTCTCTCCCTTCCTCTCTCGAAAACCACTTTACTCTCACATCAATGTTTCTCTCTCTCCCTTCCTCTCTCGAAAACCACTTAAAAAAAATGGTTAAAATGGCAAACTTTTTTTAAACAATTGAGGCCATCCCCCATCAAAAGAAAACAAGAACCACCCATCTGGGCTGCAGCTCCCAGGGGGTGACTTCGGTCCAGATGGCGGAGACCTGGTTGAGATGCTGCGACAAAAGCCACAGCAGCGAGAGGCAGGAAGGGCTCCGGCAGGGGCTGGCTCTGCCACTGGCCCGCGCAGTGAGTCGGGGCACGTAACAAGGTCTTCAAGACCTTGTTTTTCTCTTGTAAAATGGGTGCTGGGAGGCAGCGAAGGGTGGCCCCTTTTCATTAGGAGTCCACCCTGTCAGCAGGTCCTGCTGCTCTGCCTTCCTCCCTGGGCAGCGGGCTGGGCAGATGCTGCCCAGGAGGAAGAGGCCTTGCACAGACCCTCTGTCCCCTCTCCCCGATACTTACTGCAGGGCAACCTGAACCCGGGTTGCTCCCACCGCGTCTGGCTCCTCACTGTCGAAAGCAGGGGCTTCTGATGATGCACCGAGTCTGGAAGGCACGCGGGAAAGAGGGGCGTCAGAATCCCTTGCAGCGACCTGGGCTCTGTCCGGGAAGGTGCGGTCGCTCCTCAAGGAGAAAAGGTTGGCAGGTCTGCTCAGCCCCCCTGCACACCCTGCCTTCCCACCATCGCTCCTGGTCTGACTTGAAGGGGCTTCCCTTTCTCTAGTACGTGCTCCCCTAGTCTTATGCCCCTTAATGGCGACCACGAAACTAGCGCTCTCCCAAATCTGAAGCGCCCCAGCCCTAGGAGGAGCTGCCCTGCCTGCATCTTTGGTTGCTGGGGGAAGATGGGGTCCCCGGGGCATGCCCTGCTGTAGGGGATGCCCCTCCCACACATCTTGGGGGCCCAACATCTGCGGGATCACAGTTTCAAGAGACCCAGGTCTCAGGGACCCACCTTTGCACGGAAGCCTCATACACGCCACTGTCCCCGGCCACGGATTCATCCGACACGGCAGCCGAGACGCAGGCCACTTTGAGGCCACACCCCTGGGCCGTCTTCACAGCTGGAGGAAGAGGTGGGAGAAGGGTGGCAAGGTGGGGTTCAGAACCAGGGCACTGCCTTTGCAACACACACTTGAGATCCATCCATCCTCTGTCCTAAGAGGGTCCTGACAAATTCCAACCACCTGTGAACGCGACAGCCAGGTGCCGCCTTGCTTCGGGGTGAAGAAAGGGTAGCATCTGATCCTGTGTTTGACGTCTGGGTGAAACTGCCTGGGTTCAGTTCTCAGCTCCACCACTTACTGCTTCAAGATACTGAGACACTGCCCGGCCAGCATGGCTCAGTGGTTGAGCACTGACCTGTGAACCAGGAGGGCATGTTTCGATTCCCGGTCAGGTCACATGCCTGGGTTGTGGGCTCACTCCCCAGTAGGGGGAGTGCAGGAGGCAGCCAATAGGTGATTCTCTCTAATCACTGATGTTTCTCTCTCCTCTCTCTCTCTCTCTCTCTTTCTCTCTTTCCCTTGCTCTCTGAAATCAATAAAAAAATATATTTTAAAAAAAGATACTAGAACACCGATGTCACCACCGATGTCACGTCTGTGAGCCCCGATTCCTCATCTGTAAAATGGGGAGAATACTCACCTTGTAGGGCTGTTGGGAAGACTCACTCCGACATTATAGGGAAGCTTGTAGCATAGACTGGTGTGGGGAAAGCGCTCTACAAAACCCATTACCTCAGTCCTTACTGCGATGACACCCCCATGCCTTCCGGGTGAATCCCTACACACCTGGACCCTCGGGAAGGGCAAGGGAGGGGCGGGAAGGACGGAAGCATTGGCTCTCCCACTCGGCCTGTCCCATTCCACCCCTAGCTCAGCTCAGCTCCCTGCCCTTGACGGAGGCCCTCAAAAGTCTCTGGGGCGGGGGGGTGAAGTGGGGGCAGACTGGAGAGACTGGGGGCGAGCAGGCTGGGGAAAGGGATGTGGTGGGAGCCTGGGAGATGCAAGCAGCCACCTGGGGTGGCTTTTCCAGCCTGGGGCCCACACCTGCTGCAGCCTGCAGACCTCCTGTCTCCAGACCCCCACATCTCCACCCTCCGCTAAACCACTTACGGAGATTAATTTGTCTGCTGACTGAACGGCAGCCCTAATCCCTTAACCTGCTTAGCGTCTGGGCTCAGCCTGGCATCGATCGCTATAGGGAGGTTCTGGAGGTGGCATGACGGAAACGCCATCCTAAGAGGGGCTGTCTCTGGCCCACGGCCCGAAAGGACACTGTGGGGGCAGGAGGGGAGTCACTCCTGGCACCTGGCTGGGGTCTGAGTGTCGGCTGGGGTCAAGTGTTGTTAGAGGTCCCACCTGCACCTCCTCTTCAGGGACCAAATTGTCTGAAATTGCCACCTGCTGTAGGAGGAAGCCTGCTTTTATTCTGTCTGAGAGCACACAGCATGACCCCCTTCCTGCTGAGGGAGCCCAGGGGTCTCTCGGCTCCTCATCTAAGGAAACTCACGCAGCAGAGCCTCTAATTAACTAGGGAATCTGGCTCTCCCTTGCACACAAAGGGATAATTCTGGGCACCGCATGGCCCTCCTGCCCATTCCCGTAGCCTCGATGCTCAGATGGGTCCGGCTTCCAGTTGGCCACTCGAGGAGGCAGGAGCAGGCACCTGAGGCAGACAGAGCCGGCACCGGCTTCACGTGGGTTCCAGGCGGGCCTGGCGCCCATCCTGACACTCCCGCTTCCTAGCTGTGACACTGACCTCGGACAAGTCGTGTAACCTCACCGTGCCTCACTTCTTTCTTCTGTTTTATGGGGATAGAGCAGCACCTACCTCAGAGTTGCTGTGAGGCTTAAATGAGCACATATGCATAACAGTGTCTTGTATACCTGCACTCAGTAAGTCAGAGCCAGGAAAGGCCAGAGCTGAAGGTGAGCTTACTGAGCACCTGCTCAGACCTGACCTTCACACCCAAGGTCAGGCGGGCACAGTGGGGCCAGAGAGCGCCTAAGTGTCCCAGGAACGAACACCCTGGGCTACTTCGCATGCTAAGAGGAGAGTGACAACAAAGATGTTGGGTTCTTGGGTCAAAGAAACACCCATATTCCAATCCTTGCTTTCCCGCTTCTGTGTGTGTGGGGAGGGGGGCCTACGGCAAGTGATGTCATCTTTCTAAACTGCTGTTTTCTCATCTGTGAAGTGGGCACAATACAAATAAGCTATTGCACCCTATAAATCACATCGCCCACCTTTGATGCACCCCAATAAATGTTAGCTTGTTATGATTTATTACACGGCTTTCTCTCAATAAGTCTTAGCTGCCATCCTCAGCATTGCCTTCTGTTTGGGACATTCCAACATGAATCTCAATCCGCACCAGTGTGTTCAATCCGACCCCATGCAGAATGGGAGTCAGATCACATTCCCTGGCTGCAAACACTCACATGGATCCCCACTGCAATTAGGATAAAACCCAAACTCCTTCCCACAGGCCCCCAGGCCTTCCGGGACCAGAATCCCCCTGCGTCTCCAGCCCTGCTGGTGACCCCGGTGCCTGGCACCTCCTGCAGACCCCTAGCTCTGGCCTCAGAGACTTGCTCTTGCTTCCCCCAAGGCTGGCTCGTTCCCCCTGTGGAAGCCCCGGTTCAAGGCCACCCTCCTTCACAACCCAACCTGAAAACCTCCATCACATCCCCTAGTGTAATTTCTTCCCAGTGCTTTTATTGGCCTGGTTGTACAGTAACCGCCTGGGCCTTCCTTTGCACAGACGCTTTATGGGAGCAGGGACCCGTCTGTCCTGAAGACTGTATCCCTGTGACTAGCCCAGTGCCTGGCGCATGGCACCTCTGCTGAATGAATGGATGAGCCATGTGCATCCATTCGCACAGGCCTGGCATTTCATTTCAGTATGTACTTAATGATAATTACCTGCTGAATGAATGAATCCACCACAGAAAAACCCTTAGCCCAAGACGTAGAACATGTAAGTACACTCTACTGAATGAATAAAGAAATCCATAAGCCCTATGGTATGACAATGATCATGATTATCATTGCGGTCCGTGCCCAGGCCTGAGCACAGTTCCCCCCTCCCTCCCTCCTGGAGGCTCCTACCCTCCCGCTGTGGTTGTGTTCTCTACCTTGGCCCAACTGCTTGCCCTCCATTCCGGGTTCCTCCAGCTGGTACCTCTCCCGGCTGCCACTGCCAAGGCTCAGTTCACAGAGTGGCACTCAGCTCCGGATCTTCAAATTCCAGGGGGCTCAGGAAGGCGTCTCCAGCCAGGAGGGGGTCATCGATGAGAGGGGAGCAGGGCGGGGACGGGGAGGAGAGGGAGGAGCGTGGAGACAGAGAAGTCATGGACTTCGGGGTGCCGGTCAGGGAGCGCAGGGCCTGCAGGCGGCCGCCCCCCTCGGCCCTCTGGGTCTTGGCCACCTCGTCCTCGTGGATGGTGGTGATGTAGCCCGAGGGCCGGAAGCCCGTGGCCCCCTCCAGGAGCAGGAACTCCACCTTGCTCTGCAGTTCCGAGTCCAGCTGCTCGAAGGGGTCATAGTAGAGGTCAGTGAAGCTGGCGGAGGCGGAGGAGTCCAGGCTGGAGGCAGCCAGGGAGCCCCGGCTGGACGTGAGGGACCCAGGGCTGCTGCCCGAGGACAGGGACTGCATGCTGCTCGAGAGGCTGGGGGCAGAGAGAGGATGGAGGGTGAGGACACACGGAGCGGCTGGGACAGCCGGGACGTCCTGCCCAGCTCTGAAAAGCACCTAAGCAGTCAGAGTGCATGATCTCGCCGGACCCTCCTGACAGTCTCCAGGGTAGACCATGCACCCCCGTTTCACTAGAGGAAACTGATACCCCGAGAAGGCAACCCAATCAGAAACTGGCAAAGCTGGGATTCAAACCCAAGCCAACTGCCTTAAAGCTCATTTCCCCCTCTGTATCTCTGTTTCCCAAACCTCCGCTGGCTGCTTTCCATTTTCATGGTATTTTCCCATATTTGAATCTAGCCCGAAATAATATGTTAATTCAAATCAACTCTGTTATGCTTTAATATATATATATATATATATAT